TTATTATGACTAATTGATGTATGCTTAGTTATATAATTAAGACTAAATAGACCTTCGAGTCTGTTAGGTACATCCTAAGCCCATCTTGTTAATATGACTCTAGTAATCATGGTTTTAGTGAAAATTTTGACCTCGATGCATGTCTACCTCACATCTGTGCATGGACAGGTTTTGATAGTAACTAGATCTCTCAATTAGTATGACCACTTAATTTGCAGTGTCGTGCTTTTACCTATAATAGAGTAGCACCAACGCATACTCATGAACCTAATTTACCAGGTCTTGTGAGCGGTATGAACTCTACTCATGACGATCTATCCCTTGTGATGCCTGAGGCAAGGTCGATGCATCTTGTAGCTTTGCCAATAAACGCTTGGCTGCAATCATCCTCTCTTTGAATGTTGTGTGTCTACCCTGTTACTCTCTTTCCTCTTCACGAGCGGTGATAAGGTCCTAAAAAGAGAGTTGGTCTCGGGAATAGTAGTCTAATTCTGAGTTACGGGTACGTGAGATGGTAGGGTTCGTAGTAACGCGCAATTTTCTGAACTCGGGTTATAGTCTTCCTGTTTTAATCCTCGATGTTCGCGATCCGTCGGGTCTTCGCCGGGAGGGCTCTGTCAGTCAGTCCCCCGTGGTTGAGGTCATAGCACCCTCGTTGGTCTCCACATGGTGGTTGTTGACATTCAACCCTCGATCACGATTGCCCAACAGGGCACATGTTCGATGTAGTCGAAACGGTTCGTGGAACCCTTGCTATGCATGGAGGATTGATTACCTCCAATTCCGCTTCTGATTCTTCTCATAACCATTCACCATTTCTCGGGTTCGGATTGGGAAAGTAAGGGTCGTTCGGTAAGTAGGATCTTGCTATGTTGTACTTGCGAGAATAGGAGTGGAAGAGATAATTACTAGGCGTCTAACTCTATAATTAATTACTTATAGGGGTGATCCTTATTAGTTACTTCTATAATGACATAGTGCATACTAATTACATATAACAAGATACAATAGACCTTCGAATAAGTGATCCTACCCTAGGTCCACATCCAAACAAGGAAAAGGAAGTAAGGCAATGACCAAAAATTCTAAGTCTATGATTTCTAAGTTATATATAACCTTAAAGTATCCACTTAGGGACTATAGACCTATTATTAAGGATCTATTTAGTTTTCATATAAGTTATGATATTACAAAATACTCCTATAGTATTTTAAACTCATGTTCTGTTCTAATGTTCTCATTGTGGTAGTGTTGGTAAGTTTTTAGACTTGTTGCCATATCACAACCCTTTTAGCCTTGTCCCACAACAACTTAGATGCAACCCTTAGGACTTATAACACTTACACAAAGTGTTTTCATGTTCTAGAGTGTCCCAACTTAATTTATTAGTTATTATTTGGCTAATTAGTTATATATATATATATATATATATATATATATGTTCATTATATGATAACTAGGCTCGTGCGTGTGTACAAGTCTCCGTTTGCCACCTAGCACAATATCCGATACTTCAATCCAATCCACTCACCACAAGTGAGTTCATACCCCTTTAATTAACCTTTGAAATACTTTTAAATGTTTTAAATGCTTTTATGGGGGGAATACAAGTTGAATATTTATGGTTATTACATCAATCACATGTGATTAATAACCACAAAACCAATGATTTTATTACTCTTCAAACTGTTTTACAAACTCTTTTACTTATCAAATACTTTTACTTATCAAATACTTTTACTTAAACTTTGTTACACTTATTATAAATTGCATGTCCGTATATGTATAGTTATATAAGTAATGTTTAAAAGACTTAGGAAGGCTATCCACCTTATTTCCTTTTCCTCGATTTGGATGTAGTCTGATAGGATATCGGGTACTCATCCGAAGGTCGTTTAAATATTGATTATATATCATGTGTACATATATAGACATAAAAGTGCTTCCATATTCATGCGTACTAGTTACATCATTAGTAGGCTACCATCGGGGTAGCACAAGATCATACTTATACTATTGCTAAATCAATGAGTCAGTTCATTCATGAGTTAATACTTATTACTATGAGAACATATACAACTATACTAGAGGAAGAACATATACAACTATACTAGAAAGAGAACATATACAACTATACTAAAGGAAGAACATATACAACTATACTAGAAAGAGAACATATACAACTATACTAGAAAGAGACCATATACAACGATACTAGAATGAGTAACAATACATTACATATACATATATACATTGACAGAATTGTGATCCACTGTATCAGAGCATGCTTTAAATGTCATGGCCTGAGTTGTAGCCAGAGTCTCTTGGAGGGAGAGCATGAGTTTGCGTATAGATCTATACTGGATTGACTATCCTACACCTTGCTACTAGCTACAGCCGGACCTGCAGGTCTGCGGGTGCCAAACGTCATTTCTTTTTACGACCTACATTTATCGTTGTTTATCCAGTCGATAGTATGGTACAATTAATCACATGATACCTTAATACAAATCCGGTTTAAGGTAGTTAGTACAACTGTAGTTCCTATAATACAACACTACAATACTACAATAATTTACCCTTTATATATACATTTAGTGATTGTTTCACTTAAACATTAATGTACAAACTATATTTTGTTAATGATAGTTACACTTGGGAAATTACACACTTTTACAACAAACGAACATACGGAACAGTTAAGCCTTGGTAGAAGGCTACTTTAATAGAAAATATAGGTTTTTCTAGGAGATTCAAACTTTTACAAACACTTACAAACATTTACATACCTTTTACAAACTCATACCTAAAACCATGTTCAAACGTTTTGATAACAAACGCCGACACTAACATACTTATGAACTCACCAGCTTAATGCTGATAAACTCTTTCAAAATAACGTGTATTCTCAGGTCAACAGTAGACAGGTACCGAGGCCAGCTTTTGAGAAGATGGAGCGCATACAAGACTCATCTTATTATTTTGATTTAGTTTTTGGTGTCTATAACTGTACAGAACACTTGTATTAAAATTATATATTTAATGCAATGGATGATGTTGTTTGCTTATTTACTGTTATATTGTGTTGTGATACTTTACATGACGTCCTCCGCCCCAGAACGTTTCCGCCGTTCTTGGTTTTGGAGTGTGACATTTACGATCTTAGACATTTAAGTCTGCTAATCATATTTGGAAAATAAGGGATTTTCCTGGTTCAACTATTTACAATTCATACAACGATCTGTCATACTCATTTAATACATCTATAAGAAAATAAAGGGTTTTCTGGAAAACATACACGAACTTTCGAATGACATACATTTTCTCAAAACACTACTTATGAACTCACCAACTTAATTGTTGACACTTTTTCTTGAAATAACTTGTATTCTCAGGAAACCGCTAAGCAATGTTAGCAACTACTTTTGGAGATTTACGCTCTGGCGTTAATAACCTCTTTTGAAACATGATTTTGTAACTAACTTTTGAACACGTAACAGATTGCAATCATGTAAACCTTTTGAAATATATATATATATATATATATATATATATATATATATATATATATATATATATATATATATATATATATATATGGTGTGTATTTTCCTTACTATGTAATTGTTATGATATTGAATATGACGTTCTCCGCCCCCGAACGTTTCCGCTGTTCTGGTTTGGGGGTGTGACATATTCTTTCGTTCTCTTTACTGGTTTCTGAATTGTACCTTCGACGAATTCAAATTTATTTTTGGCAAACAGGAAATTCTCCATCTCCTGCCTCCAATCAGAATAGTTTATGTCAGTAAGTACTTCATTGACACGAAGCTGTTTCGGTATGTTAGATGGATGAAGATAATAGGGTGAGTTGTGATCGAACCCGCCATTGGATCCTTTTCCATTTTTGTCTTTGTCTTTTGGTTTTCCCGTCATGTTTTAGAGGAAGCAGATACGGTTTAGGGTTGTACACACCTCTCAGATACCATCTAAGAAACGATGATATAGAGTTTGGAATAGTGTTCAACAATTTATTCAATACGCCAAAAAAGGCTTAATATAGGTTACAAAGATCCAAAGATAACAAACTAATATAGAATACAGGAATAACAAATAAGTAATAGATAAAGTAATGACAACTAATAAACTATATCCAATAGGAACAATTGGCCTACGATTATGTGGGTACAGAAAAGGAAGAAGAATGGGATGGGATAAGATTTGTCAATTTCTTTCTTTTCATCATAAACTAATTAAAGAAAAAGTATAAAAAGAAGTATGAAATGATATTTTAGTAAGTTCACATGGAGTTAGTCAAGCGAGAAGGACCATTACCATGACAAATCTCATATTTAAGGGCTAAAAGGTTAAAAGTTTTTTTTCAAATACCAAAAGTGCATTATTTTACGAGCAAAGGACCATTTGTACAATTTATCCAACTTTTATGATGTTTGCAAATCTTTTACTCAACGATCCTCCTTTTTTTCCCCTCAATGGCTTAATTCCTACATTTCCCCAAAGCCCTCCTTTCTCTCTCTCATCCCTCCACACGAGATCCAGAGGGAGATCCCGCAAACCAAGAATTGGGGTTCGCATCTGATACTGCATCTATTATTAACATCAAATCGCGTAAACGAAACCCTAAACTTCAATATCTGTAAGTTGATCTCACGGCATTGCGATCTCATTTCATGTCAACTGTTTCCCTAATTTCTACTATTGTTGCAATATCATCTGGTATATGCTCCATCAGTACGTGTGTAAATCTGCTCCGTTATTGATAGTATTTCTGCAATCTAAACATCTACATGTCAAAAAACTCGTCGATTTTAGTTTAAAAGAGCAGTAAGCTGTGGTGATCTGTGTTTGGAGGTGTAGTCTATCAATGTCGATGTCGATCGATTACTGTTAAATTCCCGCATGTATTCTAATTGCAGATTTCGATTTTTTTGGGACGGGATTGGTAATCAAATAGTTTCTTGCTCCTGCTGTTGTCATCTATGTTTGGAGCTCATGTGACTGCTCCTGTTAACAGTCCCCATCTACGGAAGTCTGGAAGTAGACAACTGTTTTCGGACCTTGGTAAGAGGAATTAGAGTTGATCTGAGCATACCAAATTGATTTCCATCTAAGCTTCTTGCCTTTTTTTATCAAATCATGTTGCTCTGTTTTCTAAATTTTGTATCATTTCATTCGACAGAGTCAAGTGAAATGAAGGGTGCAAGCAGCACACCATTGTCAACTGCTGCTATGTTACCATCTCCTGTTTTGCTCTGGAGGCTTAAGGTAGTTCTTTCATTTTTTTTTTCTTGTTTTTTGGTTATATGTTTGTGTGTGATCTATATCTAATCAGACAAATCATAAGCAAATTCTGGTAGTTTAAGGAAGCAATAGATCACATAAGGGTATATAAGTAACTTTATCTCACCCTTTGATGATCTGTTTTGTTGCAGCTAAGTATGAAACAAATCATGACCCCTTAATTATCAGACAAATCATAACTAAAAGTAGGTTACAAGGTTGCATGTCTTTATTGATGATGAAATTTGAATCAATGTGCTATTTTCAGGTGATGCTGTTCTTTTTATGGGGATTCAGCTGTTGCAAGGTTAGTTCCACTTCCACCCTCATTTCTAAATACAAATCAATCTTCAGTACTATAAATTGGGTAGATTTTTTTCTAAGTGCAATGCTTTAATCGGTTATATTTTCCATAGTACATAGGAACAGAAGTTACAATGGTTTAATAGAAAGAAATATATGTTCTTTAAAAAGCCTACATTGCTGTTTCTTATGTTTATGACATGTTAGATTGGATGGGATTCTGTGATGAGGATGAGTTTGGACCTTCGAGATCTTTTTCTTTATGAGGCATTTCTGTATTATAATCCTCTTCTTCTTGTGGTGAGTCAAACTTCTGTGTTGACTTTGTTTCTAAGGGATAATTATTCAGTCAATAATATTAATATATCATTTGTTGTATTTGTATATAAACATTTGTAGACAGCTGCTGTTTGGTTTTGGGGTGCAAACTTATGGGTTTTTGCTCAGTCTAATGTTAATTATTCCAAGATTTTTGACCTTGATCAGAATCATCTCACTTATAAAGAAATATGGAAGGTAAATTAGTTGATTATTATTATTATTATTATTATTATTATTATTATTATTATTATTATTATAGTTATTTTACTATATCATTATATGTATGTCATCACTATATTAAATGGACAATTCTTGATTCTTGAAGTAATGTGATTTCTTCCGTCTTGTTAATTTTCATAGCTTATTCAAGGGGTGTTTTTTTATTTCATTATTGAATGGAATGAATTAATGAAAGTTTTCTATACACCCCATTTTTTGTTTATGTAATTTCTAGTTACACGAGTATTTTTTACAAGTTTCACGATTTTAATTACATTACGATTCTATTTTCCAAAAATATATTTTATTAAATCTTATTTGGGTCTCATGAGTGTCTGTTATGTTTTATTTGTTATTTTTGTAAAAAAAAAAGAAATTCATTAGTTATAATTAAATAATCGGGTTAATCTAAAAAAAGACCTTATATTTTGTGTTTTTTTCCGGATTAAACCTCAAATTTATTTTTTACCTTGTATTTTTTCCGAAAAAGCCCTCAACTTTGTATTTTTTTTTTCCAAAAAAACCCTAAACCTTCTAAATGCTTCCAAATAAACCCTCAACCTTTTTAGTTTTTCTCAAAAAAACCCTCCCATTTTTCAATTTTTTTGGAAAAAAAATGACTAAAATGCCCAGACTGGAAAAATGAAAAAATACAAGGTTTTTTTCAGGCAAAAAATAGAAAAAACACAAAATATAAGGTCTTTTTCGAGATCAAACCGTAAATATTTATAGAATAAAGTTAAAACTATGCGATGTATCCACATATATTATAAAAAGTTGATATGAAAATTCTTTTCCTTTCTCTAAAGTAATTATCTAATATTTGGTTATTCTTTATATTTAAATTTAAATTTTCAATATTTACAGTGTGCCACATGGATGACAATCATTGTTCCAACAAGCATGACTTCATATCTTTATTTATATTCTCATGGAGAAGTCTCATGGGCTGCATCTCAACCAGTGTAATAGATGCTTCCTTTCACATTCTTTCTATTTTTCTTTTATATAAAAATATAATATAATGAATAAATTAGTATAAACTATAAGGTATATCAACATAATACTAATAAGCTCAAGAAATGACCTTTATACATGTGGAAAACATATATATTTTAAGTATTTTTCTGGGAAATTGTCAGAAAAGTCCTAATATTTTTGGAAAAGTTTCACTTTAGTCCCAGTTTTTTTTTTTTTTGAACAGAAAAGTCCGATTATTTAATTTTAAAAGAAAAAAAGGACTTTTTTTGTTAATTTGAGCCAAAATGAAATAATTGGGACTTTTATGCTCAAAATATTTTTTTGGGACTAAAGTGAAACTTTTTGGAAAATATCGGGACTTTTCTGACAATTTCCTTATTTTTCTCCATAAATTAACTCCAATAATATTTACACATGATCTGTTTCAGGTACTTTTGTATACAGCTGTTGCAATTATCCTGATATTCCCTTTCGATATATTTTATTTGTCATCACGTTTCTTTTTATTAAAGACACTTTGGAGAATAGTCTTCCCATATCAGGTAAAGTCCATATCAAACAAGGGCAAATTTGGAAGAAAAAAAAATGTAATTTTTGCATACACATGAAGTGTTGTTTTATTTTTTTGATGAATACAGGCAATAGCATTTGCTGATTTTTTCGTGGCTGATATATTGACATCTATGTCAAAGGTATGTATCTAAAGAAATTTTTTAATATAATAATTGTGTCAGATTGTTTAAAGTGATCTATTAAATTTAACTATTTAGTAAATAAGATTTTTTTATTATTTTTTATGTTCAGGTTGCTTCAGATTTGGAACGTTCTGTTTGTAGAATGGTTCACAAGCAGGTTAGTTTTCACATTTCTTTGGGAAATTGTCAGAAAAGACCTAATATTTTCGGAAAAGTTACACTTTAGTCCTAAATTTTATTTTTTGAACATAAAAATCCCGATTATTTGATTTTACACGATAATATGTTATTTCCTGTTAAAAGGAAAAAATGATTTTTTTGTTAAGTTGAGCCAAAAATGAAATAATCAGGACCTTTATGTTCAAAAAATAAAATTTGGGACTAAAGTGTCACTTTGTCGAAAATATTGGGACTTCTCTGACAACTTCCCTATTTATTTACATTTTTAGACATGAATTTGATAGTTGGATCTTGTAAAAAATAATAATTTGAAAAGGTTATGTTTTTTTCAGAATCTTAAGTGAAGAATACAAAAAAAAGAAGAAGCATAACTTACTTTCACCATGTTGTCAAATTTAGCCACTTAATCATATTCTTTATTGATTAAAAATTTAAAGCAACATACTTTTTTTTAGCCATTTAAGATTACCAATTTTCCTAACTTGTTTTAAAAAAAAGTGTAGTGGTTTAATCAGTAAATACAATGTATATTTTAACTCCTCTATATGCGTTATTTAATTACAAATTATAAATATAAATTCCTTATTTACAAAAATAAAAATGAAAATTACTTCGGTCTTCTTAAAAAACCCAAATAAGATTATAGTAAAAAAATAATTTCTACTTTTATTTTGGTTAATCTCATAAAAAACCTTATATTTTGTGTATATGTGTGTGTGTTTTCCGGATTAAATCTCAAATTTATTTTTTGCCTTAAAAGACTTTGTATTTTTTTCATTTTTTCCGAAAAGGCCCTCAGCTTTGTATTTGTTCCCGAAAAAAACCCTCAACCTTCTAAATGCTTCCAAATAAACCCTCAACTTTTTTAGTTTTTCTCGAAAAAAACCCAAAAAAAATTGTAAAATGTGAGGGTTTTTTTTTTGAAAAAAACTAAAAAAGCTGAGAGTTTTTTTGGAAGCAATTAGAAGGCTGAGGGTTTTTTTCAGAAAAAATGAAAAAAAATACAAGGTTTTTTTCAGGCGAAAAATAAAGTTGAGGTTTAATCTGGAAAAAACACAAAATATAAGGTCTTTTACTCTTTTATGAGATTAATTAATTTACCCCCTTTTAAAAAAAAAAATAAATTAGTAATTCCTTTTGAAAAGAATTATGTGATAAAAAGCTATGTGTTTTGTTATAATATATCATTCCATTCCATGACTGGAATAAGAAAAACCACCCTCTCTAACTATGAAAAGAAGTATAAAAATATTGATAGAAATTAGAATTACATTCAAAGAAAAAAAAAAAAAAGCTAATCTATTATCATTATTATTTATTGGTTGGAGGGGTTTTGAAGGTTGCAACAATTGCATGGTTTGAAGCTGATTCAGTCTGTGGGAGTCATGCTATTGCTATCCCAATTGTTCTTGTATTGCCTTACATTTTTCGTCTCTTTCAATGCTTACGCCAATACAAGGATAACAGAGAAAAAACTTCTCTACTAAATGGTATGCTTCCTAAAATCTTTATCTTTATAATCTATCTATCCCCCCCACCTTATCTTTTAAATCTCTGACCAAATTTGTAATAAAAAAAATTTCAAATCTGGGCCAAAAGTGTAATTAGAGTTTTTTTGTTTTTTTTTTAGCATTGAAGTATTCGACAGCTGTCCCTGTGATTTTTCTTTCTGCATTGAAGTATCACGTGTTCCCTGACAGCTGGACCAACTTCTACCGCCCTCTCTGGCTACTCTCTGGCGTTGTGAATTCCCTGTACTCATTTTACTGGGACGTCACACGAGATTGGGATCTAAGGTAAATGCAAGAAATAGCAACCTACTTTCTTTACTCTTTTTTTTTTTTAAATTGGATTATAACTCTTATAATAATAGTAAGTATTTTCTTATTTTCTACTAGCTGCTTTACTCGGATCTTCAAGTTCACCAAACCTCATATTGTCTCACAAATTATTTATGGACAAAAATGGGTAAGAATTAACAAACAAGAATCGTCTAATTTTACTTCCTTCTTCAATGCCGACACGGTAAATGACTATTTTACCCTTGTCTTGGTGAAGGTGTATTTTTGGGTGATTGGAAGCAATTTGATCCTACGGTGTACGTGGACTTACAAGCTATCCGCGCATCTTCGCCATAATCATCTCACGGTTTTTGCAATCACAACATTGGAGATTTTCAGAAGATTCCAATGGGCTTTTTTTCGTGTAGAAAACGAATGGAATAAAATGAATTCTTCCAAACAAAACATTCAAATGGGTGATGTTTCGGGTGAAGAAGAAAAACTACTTAGCTTAAACAATCACAATGTATAGACATATTTGCCATCGTATGATTATGATCCAACATTTGAGTTGTCTTTTTTCTTTATTTTTACACTTAATTGGTAAACTTTTGTTTGTATTTTTGATTTTGTTGTGTTGTTAGTGAGGGTAGATGATTTTTATAGCTCTTATAGTGAAAGTTGTTTTGAATATTCTAGCTTTCGTTTACTATTGTTTTCATGGTAATCTTTGAATTGGGAGTGGCTAGCCTTTTTGAGTTCAGGATTTGCATAAGGGCAATTTGCAGAACAATAATGTGGTTAGGTATATTTTTTGAAATCTATAATAACAATGTCGCTAATTGTGCTAATTGTATTTATGATGATAGCACATTATGTCTTAAAATTTGTTAAATGCTTTACGAGTGTTATGTATATATTGCTTCGGAAGAATGTGCAACTACATTGATATTAGGGGGACAGAGTCATGGCAAAAAGAAGGGAGGTATCCCCGAGACACCACTCCCTTCTTAGTGGGTTTGGAGTCAGTGGGTTGTTTTTAAAATGTAAGTACGTTTTTGAATGTAAGGATAGAGCATATATATTACAAGTTTCGTGTTACATATTATTATTATTGGTAAAAAAAATTAAAGTACATCGCTATTATGGCTAAAGAAAAGTAAGCATGCTGATTTTATGTGTAAAAAATATGAGTCTGTCATTATAGGTAAGCATGTATCAAAAGTTCTGGACAACATTGCCATTTTTGTACAAACAAAGTAAGTATAATTTTATTGTGGATAAGGAAATGTAAGTACATTTATGTTATTGGTAAAACATTGGGGATATTAAGGCTAAGGAGTATGGTTACCATAAGACAACTAGAAAAGTGTTGTCACATATGCGCCACATCATCTCCACTACCGCTTCACAATCAAACCACTAGCCTTTGGAAATGATCACTACTCCACAAACATTCTCTTTTATTCATGTAACCAATGAAAATAAATATTTTTTTAATTCTAACATTCAAAAAAGAGACGGTCAAAAAAGGTTTGCCAATCAAATCTCTCGTCTTCGTCCGTCTCCGATACCACTCCACAGCCTCTGGGACGGTGTTCACTAGTGGGTTAGTGTGCCACATAAGAGCTCATGTATGGCTTACTCATGCATACCGGTTAACCTAATAGCAAAAAAATACTTTGCTATTTTAAGTAATATATGTTTTGTGAAACTCTCTCTCTCTCTCTCTCTCTCTCTCTCTCTTTGTGTGTGTGTGTGTGTATATATATATATATATATAATATATATATATATATATATATATATATATATATATATATATATATATATATATATATTGCTGAAAATGAAATTTTGATGGATGTAAATCAAGAGTCAGGTTTGACAAAACCAAAATCTTACTCAATTATTTTGTACTTTTGGCTAAACTAAGCCTAGTCTTGTAGCTAAGAAGCAAAGAGGGTCATCATACATGTATCAAATTGTCCTTTGATCAAAAACCTTGATTCAATTTTATATATAAAAGAACTTGCTGTAAGAAATTAGAGTTTAGAAGTTTGAGTTCAAGCTCCTATTTAATGTAATCCATACTTTAACAAAGTTTACTAGCTCTTGCTAGCAACAAAGAACAATTAGAGAGTTGTTTAAAAGAGGATTTTGTAACCAAATAGTCAAAGTGGTGTTACTTTTACTATATCTATTCCCAATCCAATCCAAAGAATGAACAACAATACTTTCCCAATCCAATGGAAAGACTGAATATATGACCTTTTCTCATGGCATGAAAGACTTCACTGTTCCTATATTGCCAAATAACCCATTTGAAGACCTTCTCCCAGATCTAATTTGACACCTCAACCTGAAGTCCTGAAGAGAGCACGAAGGACATTTAACAGATTTAACAAAGTTGTTAAAAAGCGGTTCCAAGTAGACAGGGTCGTATAGTGGCTCTAAGGCTACCTATTTCGACGTCACTATGAACATGGTTTGTATGTAGTAAATTATGTCAAAATTTGGTTTGGGTTTCGTTTTGTTTAACATGTCTACATTTTGGAACCTCAATATATGTTGTTCATTGCCCAAACTATTTATACTTATACTTATATTTACTTTGTAAGTGATTTATAATCCCCTTTTGATGGTAGTTTAATGTGTCCTTTTCTATTTCTCCCAGGATGCAATGTTTTCCTTTTACAATTGTTTTATCGTTTTGCTCGCATTATTAGACATTTTTATTATATTTTCCATTCTAGTTTGTAATCAAATTCGTTATTAGGTTTTACACTTGTTTAATATTTCTTCAAGTATATTGCGATGTATTTGGAATTCTTTGGTAATTGTTTGTCTCTGCCCAGGGATCCCCCAACAACTGCATCTTTTCATTGGTGTGCATTTGGAAATTTCCTTGTTTCTAGATTTTTCTAATTTGCAAGTGCTCAATAAAATGAATTGAATGACTATTTATCAATCTAACTATGAATTTATAAAGTAAAAAAAATGGTAATTTCGACAAAATTATAACTAGAAAAATGTATGAGGCGTTTCCAAGATATAATGGCATTGAATGACCATTTATCAGGATCACCACAATATTGATTTGGCGTCCGAGCCATTACACCGTGAGGAACCATAAACAATCCTCCGGAATTGGTAAATGGACGCAATTGGATCAAAAGATGTCGACAATTTTCAATACAAAAAAAAAAAATCAATAACTAAACAAATTGTCAGAAGTTAGTTTACAGCAACCTAATCGCTAGAATAAAGATTTCAATTACAAAATGTGGTATTTGCATTGAAACAAAAACTGTAGTTATATAAAAATCTAAAACAGGGTGGAAGGAAAAGCTCAGTGGAAGGAGAAGTCGTTAAAAATTGGGATCACGGCAAGACAACGTTAATCGCCTTGTCCACTGCCCTAATTACACCGATGGTGTTTTGCCTCATCATCGCCATTAACATTCCACCAAACATTACAATGTAAAGAGAGAAAAAAACATAAGGGTTTTCAATTACAATAATGAGCCTCAGTGTGTGTAACAATCAGATCATTGATTTAATGTATATTAAATCTCACTGAAATCCGCTAAGATAATTAAAAGTATCATCATAAGCTCGATCAAATTTGATAAAAAATTGTTTGGATTTTTTTTTTTTGTGTGCTCAGACAGCCAAGGGTTTGTCGTCAAACTGAATGGGAAGAAGAGCCCAAGATCAGAAACTCTAGTCCACAAATTGATTCATCAACGCACAAAACACAGAATATACGTACAAACCGGGTAGATTAAACGTAAATGAAACATTGTTAAGCAATCGAAGGAGTATTTGAAATCAGAGTGATTAATTAAAGATGAAGAAGAACTTATTGATGAAAGGACGATAGCGGTGCTGATTTATAGGGTTGAGTTTGTGACCGATAGAATCTGATTTAGGGTTTGGAAACTAGGGTTTTAGAAGGCGCTACATGGTCCATCCTAGTTTCATCCACTCATACCAATCAAATTAACTTAACTTTTTTTTTTTTTTAATTAAATGTAATGTACTCCCATTTATTACTTGTAGCATCTAAACCCGGTAATTTGGTAATAACAAACAAGTTTTCTGTGTTTGGATTTTGCAAAAAAAAAAAAAAAAAAAAATCGGTTTAACATATAGATTTGAATTTGTAATTTGTGTTTTGTGGGTGAGACACAAATTTGCAGGTATAAACATATATAAGAGAAGGATAATTCTCACATGCCATCTTGATAGGAACAATAAACTAACAACAACCTGTCAGTTAACTAACAAATTGTGAAGCCTGGGTAAACAAAAAATATGAACACTAACAAGTCGTACACATATAGTTACGAACACCCTTTCGCATCATAACTCAAACACATTAAATCTGTGAACTCCAACAACATCTCCCTTTGTGTTGAGTTGCGAAAACGATGTTTACTTGGCTCCATAAAAACTTCATATATCATTCCAAGAATTACAATACGAAATGTTGGTTGGATTAAAGTGTCTACATTCATAACTAAATTGATATATATTTGTAATTGAAAGCAAAATCATTTTTGGGTTGCCATCATAACTAAAACTTGGTTAGAATAATATTTGTATAGAGAGGATAATTTATTAAAATATTATATAATTAATAAACTAATCGGGAAATATGAGGTTGTTGTATATTATATAAAACTTGGTTTGTTAATATATTATATGATTAATATATGGAAATAGATAGTTGATTTGTAGATTTATTGTGTGATTAATAAATTAATAATTGGTTAATTATTAATCAAAATTAATTTGGAATTAATTCAGGATTAACTGGAATTACTTAAATGTGTAATGAGTGAATTGTAATTTTTCATAGTTGAGCAAGGAAAGATAATTCTAGAACCTAACATCAAGTTTTATTAAAATATTATATAAAACTTGGTTTGTTAATATATTATATGATTAATATATGGAAATAGATAGTTGATTTGTAGATATATTGTGTGATTAATAAATTAATACGCGATCAATTGTTAAATAATTGATTTGTTACTTTATATGATTAATAAATTAATAATTGGTTAATTATTAATCAAAATTAATTCAGGATTAACTGGAATTACTTAAATGTGTAATGAGTGAATTGTAATTTTTCATAGTTGAGCAAGGAAAGACAATTCTAGAACCTAACATCATGTTGCTCTTTTAGGGTTTCTAGAAGTCTCTTGGTAGTAGATAAGAAAAGAATTTTGTAACGCAATGTTTCTGGTATGATGTTATTTCAAGTATTCCATCTTTCTTGGAGAACTCGTTGAGTTGGAAGCCCTAACTCGACATGTTGAAGTTGGTTTGGCCACGAAATTTTATGAGCTAACTCGACGAGTTGGCGGCAAGGAAATAAACCCTAATTTCAGGGTTTTGCACCCTATTTAAATGTGACAACCGTCAAAATTCGAGTTAGTTTTAGATTTGAATAAACTTAGTTACACATATAGACACTACACATATTAGACTTAGTAACTAGAAGCTAAGTTATAACCTAGTAGAATCTTGGAAACAGATAGAGACAATGGATAATGTGCTTGGATTTCACATTGGTATGTGAATTCTACAACTACTTAACTGTAGTGACTATCCATATTCGGGTTACTCTTTGACTCGAACAACATTTCATGAATCATATACACACATCATGCACTTGACCTAGAAGTAGAAGTGAGTTCAAAGTCTCATAGAAACTTAAGTCAAAGTTGAAGACTAGGACTAGTATACTTGATTCCTCAATTTCGCTTGAATCTCGGAATCACTACATAGAATGCCAATAAACCGATAAAAATAAATTACAAACATTATTTAT